GAAACCTAAACAAAGTTCATAATACTACCAGGGATAATCTAAAGAAAATGTCTTAAATATTCAAAGGTAGCAGGTGGGCTGCTGTATGAGTTTAAATTAAAATTGATATTTACATAGCTTTATATATCTAAACCTATGGTGGTATTTAGCCTGAGAAGATGAAGTTGACTCCCATATGCTGGAGTACCTGAAACCATAAAACAGTATATTCAAAATGAATGATGAAAAATTTTGCCAAGTTTTATAGTATTAGGACTCAGAACTTGTAAATTTGTGAAAAGAAATAAATTCAAAATCAATGGTATGTTACCCAGAAGCTAATCAATTTATAAAGCTGTTAGCAAGAGAAGGTTTTGAGCAAAATTCCCATGATAAAATACATACATAATCTTATAGTATTTTCAGTTTGTTTTGTTCTATGCTAGAAGGAAATACCACTTCCATTTTCCTGAAGTTCTTATGATCTTTATTGGCACTTAGGGAGATGCTTGGATTATGAATGATTATGAATCATCACAGAGGGATGATTTTTGTAACTGCTCTTCCTGAGAAGTCTACTAGAGAACAAATAACTTGCCCCAAATCATTTGGCACAGGAGAGGTAAAACTGAAAGTCTGTTCTGTCTCTGTGCTGTGATATGTGATTCTATGATACAAATTAGGTTTAGATTAAAACCTCTTGGTGAAAGGTGTTCAAGGGGAGCCCCATTTCAGATGGACTATTATTCTCCCCCCTACTTTTTGTAAAGGTATAATTTATACATGATGAAAAGTAACTTTTTTAAAAGTAAAGAGTTTGTGAGTTTTAACAAACATACAACTCATCAAACACTCCATATCCTTTACTGTACTGTGGATAAAATAGTGTAATTGTTGACCAACTAATGTTTGTAAATAAATCAGTTCTGTGGAGCATGAACTTTATGAAACAGCCAAAATGTTCTAAATGGAAATTATTTCCTGGAGAAGATTTAGAAAGGTTAAGGTATAATGTATTCTAGTAGTTCTTATTTAAATAAAGTTTCTAGGTCCTGGATTTGATTAGTAATGATTTTTAGCTTTAGGTTTGCTTAAATTTAATCAGGAAGTAGCTCTTTCTTTCTTTTTCTTTTTTCTTTTTTTTTTTTTAAAGATTATTCACTTATGCACACAGAACTGGGGTACAGGCCAGAGTACAGGGGCAGTGAGAAGATTCACCAGAGACAGAGTGGGGAGCAGAACAGGCAGATAGATGAAGTACACTGCTGAAGGGAGCAGCAGGCGAGACAGCAAAGGTCTGCTGCCCCATCTGGGTCTCCTCCCTGCCTGGGGATTGAACCCATGCTGAAGAGGCTGCAGATAGCGGCTATAGATAGCTTCATAGTGCTTCATAGTACTGTGCTTTAACCCATTGTGCCCCCAGGGAGGGCCCAAGGAGGCTCTTTCTACCTGAAAGACCAACCCTATATGCCTAGAAATTTTCTGAATTTAGATGTACTTCACCCCCCTTAAAACACCCCATTGGTTCTAATTCTGCATTCTAGAGAGAGGGGGAAGAAATCTGCTCCCTTTAGGTTTTTAGTATTTGATGACACATCTCTCCTAGACATCCTGAGTCCTTTCCCATCACTTTGTCAGGTTACAGCTTTAGGAGCATTCATGATCCTAAACCAGGTTTGCAATGTGCAGCCCCTTAGAAAGTGTGAGACTTGGTTTGTTTGAATAGCTGTTGTCCTTTCTGCTGAGAGAACTTTTGTAGGTCTTTCTTAATTCCTTTCTCTTGATGGACAAGAGTATCTTAAAACATCACTGGCACTCATAATTGAAAAAGCTTGATGGCTGAATGGTGCTAGATTGGGGGCTGGGAGACTTGGGGCTCTTGTTCCACCTTTTTACTCAATTCTCTTGCTCCCCTTCAATTGCATTTTTAAGATAAAGGCTTCTTTTCTATTCTAAAATTATATGATTCTAGATAAAGGGGTCACATGCCATATGAAACCTTAAAGCGATAGGCTCAAAAAAAGACCAAAATCATTGACTTAACAACACAAACATTAATAGTATAAAATATAAATTGACAGACTAGAGTCAGTATGTATTTTGCCCTCCCCTCAAAGCTTTTAAAATAGATAATTTTCAAGAATGTTAAATCAAACCCATTTGATCTTGGTATTCTCAGACCAGAATTTGTCTTCAGTGGTAACAAGAGGGATAGGTTTCAGTAGACCTTTTTTCCCTCTCATTTTTTTCCCCCTAGTAAGTTTATGTTATGGAACCCTGTCCATAACTGTAGGATTAAAATATTGACAGCCTAAAATATATATATATATACACATATACATGTGTGTGTATATGTGTGTGTGTGTATACAGCCTACTAGAAATATATCTTCTTTTACTTTAATATGCATCATTTACATAAGGATTCACTGTAACTCAAATGAGTAGAGGATTTAATTGATCTTTAAAATGTTACTAAAAAAAAAAAACTCATAAAAAAAGAAACCAGATTTGAAGTTACCAGAAAGGGGGGGGGGTGCGGTGCGGGGGAGGGAAAATTGGAGGAGGGAGGGTAATCAAAAGGTATAAATATGAAGTCATAAGAAAATAAAACAGAGCATGATGCCTATAGCTAACACTGGTGTATAATATATAGGAAAGTTGTTACAAGAGTAATTACAGGAATCAGAGTTGCAACACTGTGATGGCAGGTTGCTGACAATTAGTGCTAGTCCATAATAACAATTGGAAGTGGAATTTTCAAGAGTTCTTCAAGCTTTATGAACTAGAAGGTCTAATTTGAAAAAGACTGGTTGAAAATTGGACTTTGCTAAGTGGTTGCCTGACTTGCATTGCTGGGCAAAGATGTGAGGGCATTGCCTTTCTCCTCTGGGTAAAGGAGACATTGAGCCTTATCACGGGCACTCATATGCCTAAACACTGGCCTGAAGTGTTGTTGACTTAACGTTGAAGTTGTATGTTAACATAAAGAAGTAAAGGAAGATCCAGAGGAACCATAGGACCCTGAAGAAAACCTGAAGGAGCAATAAATGAACTGAAGGGATAGAGAATAAAGGACTAATGGGGGGAAAAAAAATCAACCACTCACTTATTCATCAGTTAAATATTAAGGCATCTTGACAGACCTTGCGATACAAAAGAATGCACAGCTCCTCCTTACATTTGATCCTACAGTATAGAGGAAGGTCCCAGGACAAAGTGATGAGGGTGCTGTAATGAAATAGACACGTGCAGGTCCTCTGAGTCTGCATATTACTGAAATGTCCTTATTTTCCTGATCTCATTTCCTCACCTTCAAGTCCATTTTTCCTTTTAGGCATTGTTTCAAAAACAGTAATTTTCAGAAGTCAAAACAAAACAAAACAAACACCTCTTAAGGGATTACCTAGTTTTTTGCTGCTCCAAAGGTCTCCATGAAATACTGGCATAATTCGTGTCCTAACAAATGTAATGTTGCTAAAATGGAGAGGTCTACTCAGGCAGGTCTTGTGTTTGACTGTGTCCCCCAGCTGCTTCCTTTTCTCTTTAAAGTTGGAGAAGCACTAATGTAGTGCCACTTCTCTCTTTTCAGTTTTATGTATAAAGGAAATGAATTCAGGTTGTGCACTGACAGTACTAGGCTCAGTGGCAGAGCTGGTATTAACACTCAGCCCATCTGTTTATCTGTTTGCTGGTAGTGTCGCATGCGTGTGCTGGTATTTCTCTTACTGCCACCTTTTACTCTCACATTGACCTCTGTTAGTATTTGATATTGTCAGATCTCCAGCTCCTTCTCTCTCTTTCTCTCTGTCTTCAGTAGTTCTCCCTATAAGGAGAGAATGGGACAGGATACCCACACTATATATCAAAAAGAATGAACTTTTTAATTTAATTTTCATTTGGAGTAAATTTTTAGACCTATTTTTAATTTTGTTTCTTCCTGTTGCTCAGAAGTGCCTTTGAAGTCCGTAGTAATTCTGTGTATCATAATGAGTGAGAATATATGATGTTAGAAACTAAAAATCTTGCATTTTAACATTTTTTTCTTTGTTACATAAGGGAATAATACATTTGCTCTTTGTATTAATCTCATGGAAAAGACTAGGAGATAGGAATAGGACAACGTGCCATCTCGGTGATCTAAAGTGGAGCTCCTAGGTTTTAGAAATATGAAAGCTAATAGCAATGTCTTTTATTAATGGATTAGAAAATTAATTTTTTATCCCACTTTTCTTGATCATGCTTCTGTTAGAAAGTTCTCTTTGCGAAGAAACTCAAGTAAAATTGACTCAGAGGTTGATATTTTAATTAGGACAACTTGATTCATTGAAATTAATTCATTTAAGGACAGTTGATTCATTGTAAGTCAAATAAAGCATGACATTCTGTGTTTATTACACGTGTAAGGTAAATGATTTGTAAATTTAGAGAAACACAAATTGATTATACTAATGGATAAAAAATGAGTTAGGAGTAATTTAGAAAAATGTCTTGAATATGATGTTTGCTTTTTAAATAAATTGTAAAACGCTAATGATCACTTCCTTTTTACTTCAGACATAAATGTGCTCTTAAGTGTCCAGAAACATACCAGGGAATGGCTTCTCTTGCCCCATACCCCTTAGTTGACTACTTCTTTTATGCATAGGAGGGAGCAGCTTCCCAACAACATTGACAAATTTGACATGTTGAGTATGGAAGATGAGTTTCTCAAATTTCCTGTCCTTGAAAGTCTTTCATTAACGTTTATGTCAAACTTGTTATATATATTTTAGCGGGCTTCATTTTTGTCTTTGTCCTTTACAAAATATTATGTAATGAAACTTCATATTTAAAAGCCACTCCTGGGAATCAGTGTCATTTCTTTGGTCTTTATATTGGCTCAAAAAATAGTGACCTGTAGTTCATCCACTACAGATTAGGGAATTAGGAAAACTATAGTGGAGACATTATAATTCATAATAAATTTAATTTATAAATACTCTCTATTGAGTGGACTTTGTTATTTTGTTTCCTCTCTAGATAAGAGGGTGGAGGACTGGCCTCTGATGAAGTCCCCTTTGCCCACACTCTGCATAAGTACTCTTTATCTCCTGTTTGTGTGGCTGGGCCCAAAATGGATGAAGAACCGAGAACCTTTTCAGATGCGCTTAGTGCTGATTGTCTATAATTTTGGGATGGTTTTGCTTAACTTTTTTATCTTCAAAGAGGTAAGTTTGTTTAAGTCACTCAATAATGATTCCTAGGGTTATTAGAAATTTTAAGAAGAGATTGTGTAAAACTAACATTGTAACATTGTACCTCAAGATACCTTCGCTTCTCTAAAAGTAAATTTTACATTATTGGCATTTTTAGTTTTTGGATTTAAAAATGTAAAGTATACATAAAGTATCAGACAGTTGTGTAAAATGGACTTTTAAAACAGTGGATTTTAAAGTATCCCTTATAAGTGTTTTGGACATTGGAAGTGATTTAACTTCTCTGAGATGGTAAGATGAGGGTATATCAATACTTATCTCTTGGGTATCAGGAATAAGTGGGATAATTTTTGCATAGTGGTTGGCACTATTAAGCATTCAGTAGACAATTACAGATATTTATGTATAATTCTTGTTCTGCAATCTCAGGTTGAATAACTGATCAAAATATGTAGATGTAGAATAGTGCTTTCAAGTTAGAGCCTTTTACATATGTCATTGTATTTTGTGTTGAAACTAAAATGGGTTAACTGTTATACAACTGCTGTTGTTAATTACAGTGTACTTTTCTGAGTACCAGCAAAGTTCCATGACACTTTGAAAGGAAGTCCTAAAGGCTAGATTGACATGGCTATGTTTTAAGTAGAAAGAGAACAAAAATTAGGTTACCAAGAGACTCCTCACTAAAATTCTGTATGAAGCCAAAGAACTGGACTAGTGATGCTAGGAATGTAAACAGTGTTCTCCTTTAATTTTTTTTTTTAATCCTAAATTGGCACCTTAGCTATAAAACCTCAACTGCATGAAACTTTAATTTACTTGGATACTTTTTACCTAATTTGTTAGATATAAACTATACTAGATACGAACAGGAAATCACTGCAACTCTTAGAGCTATAATTTTGTAGTAATAAAAATTTCTCTTAATATTATGAAGGATATAAAATTAACTTAGTAAACAATTTGCATATTATTTTTAACTTCCATTTTAGACTGAATTGACATATTAAATTTAAAAAAACCCTGATACACTAAATGTTTAATAATTTTGAAGTTTTTTAGCCAATATTGCTTTTTAAGATAATTTGAAAGGTTGCATGTTATATTTAGTATTTTAATGCTGTAGGTACTAAACCTGACTGTGTTATTCCTTTTTTTCCCCCCTCAGTTATTCATGGGATCTTATAATGCAGGATATAGCTATATTTGCCAGAGTGTGGATTATTCTAATGATGTTAATGAAGTCAGGGTAAGTACTGTAAAATCAGAAGGAAGTAAGTTTAATTTTATAAGCCATTGTTGTGGAAAAACTTACCATAACATAATAGTAAAAATATACTGGATTGTTCTGAGTCGACAAAGCTATGCTTTTCTTTTAAAGTATGCAGTTGAAAATCTGTTTTCATACTTCACTAATTTCTTTCGTTTAATGGTAAAAGTGACTGTTGGATTACTAGGGTGCAGTACTTTAAAAAGTTCAATGCTTATTGTAAAGGCAATGTATTAGATTTTGTTGTATTTGGTAAAAAAAATCATAAAGAGAGATTATTTGTTAAGAAAGTTTAAGGAAAAAAGTTTTATAAACTATGAAATGTTTGGTAAAGTTAAGTACAGCATTATTTTGTATAGGTATAAACTCAGTTTTTATAAAATAAGTTTATTTTTGCAGAAAAATAAGCTTCCATATTTTATTTTCCAACCACCTATGTTAGTAACATTACTATTTTACTCAAGTGGAAGAAATGTTTCTTTTTTAGTATTTATTGAAATCCTCTTGTGTACTGTGGTTCTTATTTAAAAATTACATATACTACACAAAATATAATATATGGATTATATCATATACACATATAAAACTTAAAGCTGTATGTGTATGTTTTATGTTATATGTGATAAATATAGTAATGACATAGTATATAGTTTCCTTTGGGGGAAAACAATTATGACATTGGGGTTGTACAATATAAATATCAGTATTAATCCAGACTCAAGGCCAAATTGCTTTAATGTGCTTGCCATTTTATGTCCATGACTTCATTTCCCTATTAGATTTATGAGATGCTAAAAAATCACCTCTTGTTGACATTTGGTTTTATTCATCTCACAAAAGTATATTGAACATCTACTATAGTCAGGTAGAAGACAGGTGAAAAGACAGAGGAGATCCTTGCCTTTATGGAGCTGATGTCTAGTAAGGGTTGTGATCACGTGAAATGAATAGTTAACAAGAAGATAAAATCTGTGATGTAAGTGAAAGAAAATGAGGGCAGCTGCTTTTTAAAGATTTGCTGGCTAGAAAAGAGTTAGAGAAGCAACTGTTAGGAATTGACTTCTGTGGTGATACTTGGTTTGGGAAAAGGGAAAAGGAAAAGTGTTACATTTACTTTCATTTAGGAACGAGCTTAGAAAATCCCATTGGGTGAAATAACATGTTGTATTTTTGGGCTAAGGGCTTAAAAATATCTGTCTGGTAATTGTGAACCTATCCTCCTGACATGTATAAATGATCAGTTCTTTGAAAAATTATCTGTTGTGGGACTGAAATCTAGGAGAAAAAGCTAGAGATTTACAACATATTAAATCCTTATTGAAAAAACAAAATTTTCCTTTTTTAAATATTGGATATAATAGGATTAGTATTTCACTATGCTCATTTTTATACTCATTGTTATGTAGCAAGATTATCACTTTTCACTTTGATGTAGCCTATTTGAAGATGTTCAGTGCAGTTTAAGAACTAAAGAGAGGGCTTATTATATTTTTGTGAATGGTGGCCAATTTAGAGGCCTAGATGGGGTGGGGGGAGATAATAAATCTTGGCTTGTAGATAAAATTTACTATGCCAAAATGGTTGTAGTTATATTATTAAAATACTGGCATAGTAGTGAAAATTAAAGATGGCATTCCTGTAAGTACTTCAAGACTATTTCAACCAGTTTAACCATCTCAATAGTATTAAAACAAATTCAGTAAATAATATAAACTTACAAGCGCAAGACTTTACTCTCTCCTCTTTGCACACACTTTAAAGTTGTAATTTTGTTTTGCATATGCAAAAAATAAATCCAAAATAAACAAAACGTATGATATCTAACAGATGCAGGTATAAAATGAGAAGGCTCAATCAACTCTAAAATACTTAAGCCTGTCTTGGAATGAATCTGTCAGACACTGCTACACAAAGGTTTAGAAACAGATTTTAGTTATTCACTGTCTTCTTCATTATTTGTACCTAGAATGCATAGAAAACACTGAAGAGTTGAATTTAGGTTACAGTGAAAGTAGAATTCTTGTAAAATATTTTAAACATACATACAGAGGTCACCTCTTACTAGATCCCTGGATCCTTAATCTCAGCATGTAATGTAATCTTTCTGTACCATCTGGTGTCTTAGTTAGAGCCCAGGAAGAGAAAAGAATTACTCGTGTAAGCAGGATTATATTTATGACCTAGGAAATATTTCTTGTAGTTGTTTCTATTTATTATTTTAAGTATTTTACTAATACAGACTATTGTGACTGGGTTTAAAATAGTAAAATATTTAAACAATATTGTTTAAAGTGAGAGGCAGACACTAAGAGAAACCAGTTGCTACAAACATACTTATAAGAATACCCAAGATAGGCAGTCTGCAAGCCTGAAGAGCTGACATGTCTTCCCAAAGTAAATATCTCAATTTCTCTACCTAATTGAAAAACACAGTGAGGTGAATATTTTTTTTAGCTCTGTATAGAGCAGTTGTGCTTCCTGTTACTCAGCTATGTTAACAGACTGGAAAATTTCTTTAAATTGTTGGCCCTGTGTAAGTCTAGTTTTTGACTTTTCCTTTGCTATTTTCCCTCTGGATAACTGCCTAGGCTTCACACCTTCTTAGACAAAAATTATTCCTTGCCATATACATTTTGTACGGTGAAGATTATTTAGGGTTTGTGTACAAATGAGTAGAAAGCCATATGATGCTGTCAGTCTGGTGTTTATAGCTTGCTTTTCCTTTTTTTTTACAGATAGCTGCTGCTCTGTGGTGGTACTTTGTTTCTAAAGGCGTGGAGTACTTGGACACAGTGTTTTTTATCCTGAGGAAGAAAAACAACCAAGTCTCTTTCCTTCATGTGTATCATCACTGTACAATGTTTACCTTGTGGTGGATTGGAATTAAGTGGGTTGCAGGGGGACAAGGTGAGCATTTTCAGGAGCCTGCCAATTTGCATTTAATTGTGTCACTGTATTGGGAGAAAAATAATTATGACATGTGTTGTGTCCTGGAAATATGACTCTGTCTATATTGTAACTTGCTTTCATGGTTAATTATTTCTATTAGTATCACTGAAAAAAATTTTTTTAAAGATTTATTTACGCTGCTCAGTAGTGTACTTCGTCGAGCTGCCTGTTCTGCTTCCCACTCTCCCCCCTCTCGCCACCCCTGAGCCTCTGGCCTGTACCTCAGTTATGTTTGTACAAATAAATAAATCTTTAAAAAAAAATTTATGCATTCAGAGCTGGGATATAGGCCAGAAGTGCAAGGGCGGTGAGAGGATTCACCAGAGACAGAGTGGGGAGCAGAACAGGCCAAATGATGAAGTACACTGCTGAGGGGAGCAGCAGGTGGGTGAGGAGAAGTCTGATGTGCCATGTAGATCACCTCTGGGGCCGGAGATTGAATTCACATTGAAGTGGCTTTAGCTTCTCAGTGCTGTGCTTTAACTTGCTGCACCACCAGGGAGGGCCTGGTATGATTTTAAAGAAATTTGAAGAAAGTTTGATTTGTGGCTACTTTAACACCTAATCGTTCGTCCTGGAGATGAGCATAAAGTGGCCCTAAATATAGTGAATAGTATTTTGATGGGGAGCACTTCTACTGCTTCTGAGCCAAAGGACAAGATATAACCGCTCAGTCTGAAGGCTCGAGCCATTTTCACTGCAAAGCCAGAGTTCATCTCCAGTCCAGTGAAAGGCCTTAAATTAACCTGTTGGATCTTAGTCAAAGGAAATTGTATACAACCTTGTTAATATTAAAGGAGATCACAATTCCCATTTGGCTCAAGATATGCTTCCATTTTTTCAAATGCCAATATATTGAAAATGATTCATACCATTGAGCAGGAAACAGACCATTCCTCTCGTGGGTTCCTAGGGTATACATCTCAGTACAGTTCACCTTATAAATCATGTTTGTTATAGATGTGTATTGGCATTTTTTTTAAAGATTTATTTATGCATATATAACTGGGGTACAGGCCAGAGGTACAGGGGTAAGAGGGTCACCAGAGACAGAGTGGGGAGCAGAACAGGCCGACTGACGAAGTACACTGCTAAGGGAAAGAGCGGTCTGGTCAGGAGAGGTCTGCTGCCCCATGTGGGTCACTTCAGGGGCTGTCATCGAACTCATGCTAAAGTGGCTTTAGCTTCTTAGTGCTGTACTTTAAAACTGCACCACCAGGGAGGGCCCAGATGTGTACTGGCATTTTAAAGGCAATAATATTTGTAAGTCTAATTGAAACTTTTATGTACCATTACCTCCTTCCCCTCCCTCCAAGAACAGAATGAAAAGTATTGCAGGCAATTCTTCATTAGGGTCAACTTAAGCCATTGGAACACTTCATTTAAAAACTTGCCACTATGAAAGTCCTTTATATTTGAAGAACACTGATTTTTATTGAAATGATAGAACCTGAGTCTAAAAATACCTAGCATCATTGCAAAAGAAGGCTTTTACATTAGTACTACTTAACATTTATTCCTGATATGTACTCAAGATTGAAAGTCAGAAAATAATGTGGATTTATTTATGTTATGTCCAAATGGTTTCATGCCTCATAAATTTTCCATATCATCTTGCAATTAATTGATGCTTTTTTTCCCTAAAGCATTTTTTGGAGCCCAGATGAACTCCTTCATCCATGTGATCATGTACTCGTACTACGGGTTAACTGCACTTGGTCCATGGATTCAGAAGTATCTTTGGTGGAAACGATACCTGACCATGCTGCAGCTGGTGAGTTGTGTCTGAATTTCTTCTTGTGAAACACTGAAAATATTTAACTCTGTTAATTGTGACATGAGAAGACATGTTTGACAATTTTCTGTTGCAGAGCTGACTTTCTGTGTGCTGTAGCTAGAACAGGTGAGGCTGCTTGGCTCTGAGCTATCTGCTCATAGACCTAGTAGCCATAGCCATTTGTTTTCTAAATGTTTTAAAAGGCTGAATACAACTCTCGCTTCTCTAAAGGAAATATTCTTTTAAAACATCTGTGAAACAGAAGATTAAATGTCTAAGCACACTACACAATACCTTGCATATGACTCAGAAAATAAGAATTTTTTTCCTCAGCAATTTTTTTAACTTAAGCAGTTGTTATTACTGCTCTTCACTCAGTTTTCCCTTTTTGATTTTGATTTCATTTTTTTTTGTACTGTAAGAGTTACCATACTTTTAATATGTAAAAGTATATAAAAGGCACCAGGCCTAAGAAGGGGTGGGGTAAATGTGAGCCAGAAAATGTCTCTTCCTTCTCTGATGCATAGCCCCGAGAGAGCAGAGCTGGGGATTTTCAGATGTTAGTCTTTAAACAGTTTTCAGCACTTATCCTCATAGATGCTACTTCTATAGCATCTGGGTACATGGGTGTCACTTTCAGAAATAGGTACTACTCCAGTTATCAAACTGGAAATCCAAAACCAACCTGGTAACTACTCTTCAACTCTTGGAATTTATGATAATTCACTTTAATCATGGCCTGCACAGTTTTATCAGTGGCATCACATGTGGAAATACATCCATCTCTCTTTAAGTTGCTAAACAGCTGGCTAACCAAACGGGAAACACAACTTTTGGGGGAATGCAAGGCGTGAAAGAATAATTTGCAGCTAACATGCTACAGGAGTCTTTTTTCTGTAAGCTATTTATACAGTCTGTAATTTATTTCTCTCAGTAACTTGTACATACTCCTGAGAAAATGAACAGGTGACAAGAATCATGTGAGCTCTTTCTGTATGGTTTTTGGCCTGTGCCACACTATCCCTGAGTGAGGCCACACTCAGTCACACCCCTCTACACACCCTTTTTCGGTGATGCAGGTTCAAAGAGTCATTGTGAAATCCATCGTTCTTAGAATATGAATTTTGCCATGGAATGTTTTCAGTATATTTTTGGGCTTATGTGGAATAAATTATTTTAGTAATATTTACTAATTAATGTTGATTATACTATCCTTTGAAGAGGAACCACAATTGCTTGTTCCAAATAGGATGTAAATTTTCTGAAAGGTTATCTATTTCCACGCCACAAATTCTCATAAAAGTTAGTCATGTATTTGATCTGATAAAGTTAATCCTTGTAAACCTGTAAATTCTGTAAACACCACAGAATTCATAATTCTTCTATCTAAAACCATTCACTTAACGATTTACCAGAATTTAGGACTATTTTGTTATGTTAAGCATTTTAAGTTTGGCTTGTCCCCTCTTAAGTTGAAAATGATTGTTTCTCTTTTTTTTTCCTTGCATTTATTCTCAATTATCCACTAAGTTTTACCAAAAGATTTAGTTTTCAAAGGATAGTGTTAATTGAAGTGCTTATTTACCTGCTGTTCTCTAAGAAACCAATTTAATGAGCCATTATGCTAAGATCATTAACACACACACGTACCAAATGTTGACAATTTTATGGAAGGAAACTAGTCTGAAATATAGGAGAAAAACAAGAATTGAAGTATCTACCATGCCACACCTTAGTCTTTTTTGACCATTGATATTCTCTCTTATTAGGTAATATGTTCCACCAAGGTTCGTTTGAGTCCAGGCACTGCCACAGACTCAGGAACCTTAGGCAACACAGAGCCCTGCCCCCTGCTGTGAGATCCAAGTAGAAATCATCAAATACAAGACAATTTCAGATACTTATAATTCCTAAAAAGAAAGAAAAAAAAACACACCAAAGGAAAAAGGCCCTTTGGCTAATGGGATTGAGGGCCAGTTGGGGAAAGTGCTTTAGTTCTGGTCATCAGGAAGCTTTTGTTGAAGGGATGGCATTTGAGCAGCGACCTGAATGGGGAGCCAGGCCTGGGAGCCAGCGAACCATTACATTTTGGATGATTTGGCAACATTTAGGTGTATTTTAGATAGATGAGTCTGATGACATTAAAAATGAATATCTTGCTTTTTGTTTTTCAGGTTCAGTTCCATGTGACCATCGGGCACACCGCACTGTCCCTTTACACTGATTGCCCCTTCCCCAAGTGGATGCATTGGGCTTTAATTGTCTATGCAATCAGCTTCATATGTCTCTTTCTTAACTTCTATGTTCGGACATACAATCAGCCAAAGAAATCAAAAACAGGAAAAACAGCTATGAATGGTGTTTCAGCAAATGGTGTGAACAAATCAGAAAAACAACTAGTGGTAGAAAATGGAAAAAAGCAGAAAGATGGAAAAGCAAAAGGAGAGTAAACTGAACTGGGCCTTAACTGTTGTTGACAGTGAGGAAGCTCCCATTTCGTATAAAATTTCAGGGAAAACAAGCAAATGAGGGCTTAGGGTGGGGAGAAAAAAGCAAATGTGCTTCATGTATTAGTAACCGATAGACTGAGTAAAGTGTTAAATATAACACCCAGATGTTTTATTTATGAAGTTTTTATTTTAAACATTTTTTTTTATTATTAGCCTTGATGTTGTCCAGACCAAAGTAATCACTATGTGACTTTGGAGAGTCTCCCTTTGTCCACATCTGTTTGTCTAATGCATGAGATTTTTCATGTTACATATAGATGGTCATTTTTCAGTCTGATGATCACAGAAATGCAGTCTATGAATTTTGTGACTAAATTACTAATTGCTGATTGATTAAAATCAGTTACCTTCCATTTTTTGGTCCAAAGCTAGAAATGTGGGTCCTTTTAAAATTTGCACATTTGAATGCATTTGCTGACTGAAATAGTCAAATCTCTCCACCTCTAGTTGAATATACCCTTTGGGTTTTAATTAAATTAAAATATTTGCTGATCTCTATAGACTCTTAGAGGCTTGATGATGATGGTGTTGGTGAAAATAAGAAAGAATTACAGTAAAATCCTGTCTGGGGACCCAAAGGTCACCCTGACTGGTGGCACAAATCACTGTGGGAAACAATTTTTGTGATGAAAAGGTAGCCTTTCAGTACTCCTACTATTGTCAGAAATATATAATGAAAATTAAGATTATTGTCTGATTGGAACATGAAACAACTCATGTCTTTATTAGTACCATCATAAAATAGCTACATTTATGTGCTATTAGAAAAGAATATGTTAACTTTTATCAGGCTTTCCTTGTTTTGATTTGTGGCTGTTACTGATTTTTCATATGTGGAAATAATACCTACCTCTTCTGTTGGAAAGAACATTTAAAATTAAATAAATTTTAATTAAAAAATCAAGGAGTCTTCTAATGTAAATTTTAATATTAACTTTTGAATCCACTAGAATTTTTTTGCTTTTTTTACAAATAGCATACACCAAACTTTTCTGTGAAACTATTCTTCTCTTTCAATGTGCTTAATTTTGATGTAATGTTTTCCTTGTGATGAAGTTGCAAGATCTTATTTATTAACTAGATATGAAGTGTAAACCCATCTTGGTGCAATATTCCTGACTCCTTGGTGCTAAATATGGTCAAATCAGTGCTTGATTGTTACAAGGTGTTAATTTTTAAGACACAAAGTGAATAAAAGTGAGATTAGTTAGAATATAAGATGAAAATTACTATTCGCAAATAAAGTATTTCCTGTAATATAAATGAACAACTAGAAATAACACTAGGAGAGAGAACTTGTACAGTGTCTTATTACATAGGTTAAATGGCTAGGGCATGTTGCACAGGGATCATTATAGAAAGAGAAAAATGTGACCAAAAAGCATGAATATTTCTTAGTATCTCAACATGTCAAAACTGTATGTGCAGGATGTATGCTGTTTGTGCAAACTCTTTCAGGATATTTTGTAAAATATTTATTGTGCATTAAAATGACATATCCCCACCCAGCCCCCAAAGGCATGAAGTCATGAGAATTATAGAAAAGTTTGCAATACATATAAAAGTTTGAAAGAACAGGATTCAACACCTTTGTTTTTGCTGCTCAGTGTGTAATGACTAGAAAATTGTGAATCTTTGTGAACATTCTGTACTGGTTTCCCAGGGCTATTCATTCCCTGTTACCTGATTTCAGCACAATAAATATACTATTGCTGTGGGAAAATGATTTTTTTGTTAATCAATTTATTATAATGTGAATGATCAACTGATGTTTGATTCATTTGTTTGAGTCACTTGTTAATATTGGAAATACTTTTCCACTGTGCTTTCTTTGTAGGAAAGAAACTAGAACTCGAATGTCTCAAATTTCTAGTAAAAAGCTCATTTTTAATGAGAGTATAATTTTTGCCTTAAAAATTAATTGCCTTTGCAAGAGCTTTTGGATCCAGACATGAAACATACTGTTTTTTTCTAAATTGTTCTTACATTGTCACTTCAAATGTAAGCTTAAGACTTTTTTATGCTATACTTTCTTTTGTTCCAAAAATAAAATGGGGGATCTACTTGTATTATACTTAAAGCATTCAGTCCTTACCATAAGATTTCTTTGCCAACGATGATTTAAAGAGTTAACCAGCTTTTTCTATTATTTTTCATAATTTCTCTATCTAAAAATTTTCCACATGAAGTTGCCTCACTCATAACTAAAAATTGATGAATGAAGATGCATCCTTTTTTTCAGGAAAACTTTGTCATTAGCCAAAATAACATTTTCTTAGAAAATAGGGATTTTCAATGACTAGAAATACCTTGAACATGTAACAGTTTTCCAATAGAATCAATGGTAGAAATTTTTCTTTTTCCACTTTTCTGTATCACTCTTGACTCTGTTTTTTTCCCCTGACTGAAGACTAGTTTCACTATCTAGGCATTCAAAAAAGTATGTGAATCATCCACAACTTAGAAAATGGAAACCAGTGGCATTTTGCAGTTTATTAGGGTTATTTAAATTTACAGGTTTGCTTCACTTATGCAACTCAATCACGCTCTAAGTAACAGAGAATCTAGAGATAGAAGTGAATTTTGCTGCAAAACCATTGGATAATAAAATAATTCAGGTATTGTGTATTGACTGTTGGACACAACTTTTGAATTTCATCTTCATTAGAATAGGACATGAACTATTCACACACTGAGCTTTCTCCATATTGTAGTTGTATAGCAGTCAACTGTATTCATAACACCATCTTTACTGAGGAAAAAGAGCTCCAGGTATAGGGGAGTACAGCGCAGTCCAGACATAAGTGACATAGATGTAGGATCCTGCTGACTGTAAAGAAGGCTGCAGAATGGAGAAGCAATGTGATCCCCAACATACAGAGAAGCATCTGTGCTTGGTGAGATGTCCTCTACCACTTATCATGCCAGCAATATTCGCGAGTTACCTTGGGAAACAAGTCCTTAATACGGATGTAGAATCATGCTTAATCGTAGGAGTTTTAGGCAGATGACATAAAAATCAGGATAATAGTTGTGAAAAGAAAAAGAAGTACATGGCCCTCCCTGGTGGCACAGCGGGTTGGAGCACAACACTGCAAGCTGGCCGTAGCTGCTTCAGTGCTAGTTTGATCCCCGGGCCCTCAGCAGTGTATTTCATCAATCTGCCTGTGCTGTTCCCCACTCTGTCGCTGGTGAATTGTCTCATCACCCCTGCATCTCTGGCCTGTACCCCAGTTCTGTATGAATAAATAAAATCTTTAAAAAAGAAAAAGTACAAAATCTGTTTCAAAACATTACAATTATAAAGATATTCAAAGATGGTTTTCATGAAAGCTTCCACTATGAAAGGTACAGCCTTTGGTTTTTTGAAATTTTTAAATAGGAAAATGTAGCATAACTACTTTCTTAAAGGGTATTTAGAGACTTATACTAAAACTTAAGATTGACATACAGCACCTCTACCAGATGAAGAGTGAGACTCAAAGAAATTTTAGGACAAGGATTGATCTGAATTGTCTCTTCTTGTTCTTTTAGAATTAAAGGTCTAGAAAGTCAAACTGTTTCTACTCATTCAAAAAAGTTCAGAACTTAGTTTTATTCTTTGTCTTTTCATTTTACCACATAAAGTCATGTTTACATGCCCATGTGTGAACATATATTCCTTCACACTTTTGTCCTTTGACAATCTGGTCTTAAATGTAAACTAACTTGAATGTTTACATTCTCATAGACAAGAGTTTTTAGGAAATGTGTCTTTAATATCTTCTATGAGAATAAGTGCATGCTGAAACACATCACTTGATTTCTATCTACCTGATTATAATAATCTAATGCAACTATTAGAAGGGCACATTGAAATTGAACATCTATGCAGAAAATGTATCCAAATGAAAAGCCATTGTTAAACTACTTGCAAGGCTTAAGTAATACAGCCACTTCTAAGAAGATAGAGACTTATTGTTTCTAGATTTAAATATAAAACATGAGTTCAAAGAATATTTTGTCTGGACTAACAAAATATTCAATGTACTGTTAGTCTATAGGTACCCCTGAATCTTTTTGCAGTAATTTTAGAGAAGTTAGTTAAAAAAAATTTTTTTGGCTTACCTTGGAGAAAAACAAAAGCATTGGAATTCCTTCTTTGTCATCCCTCATACATTATATTTAAACTGAGTTTCTCCTCCCAGTGAGGAAGCTACCCTAAGAACCAGTCTTTCGAGAATGATTGCTGAGCTATTTGGTAATGAGAGGTTGGGTAGCTTATGAGTCTTGCATGGTATGTAGCGTCATGTGAGTGACATTCTCACCTCAACTTTGAAGGTGACTCATGTTCTCATTTCTTTAATAAATTTGGAATCAGGTACAACACTACATTTTTAGATGCAGACTATATACTTAGGGTACACATACAGTTAGATTTCAAATACATTTTGAGTGTACCTTTAATAAAGATGTTATATGGTCACAAAAGAACAACTACTTTTCACAGTTATACTACTCACCATTTGAGTGTTTTTATTATGTTGGACATACTGACAATCGCTATTGAAATCATAGCCTCAACAGTTTCCCAATGGTATTTATTGGGAAAGAGCAAGACCCAAAGTATTGGAATGGGAATTTATAGTTTGAGTTGGATGAATCTGAGAATCTGAACCTATGAACCCTATAATTACCCCTGGCCAAGCAAAGCAGCCCCTCTTTCCTTGACAGAGGATATTCATCTTGTATTGCTCCTGTAATGGCCACAACTGGGACAGTTAGTTTCCAAAGGGATGCTGATAATCCTATGTCAGCTTCTACTCTTTCAATGCTAGCACATTTGTAAGGAGAATTAGTTAACAGCATGCCACAGATGGATAAATACAAAATCTATTCTGGGTGATAGCTTAAAATAAGATTTGGCTAATTTTTACCTACATAAACGTGTAGGAACAGCTTTGAAGTGTGCTAAGCAATTTGGGAAGAAACATTTTTAGGCTGAACTGAATTTATTGATATAGGTGCACCTATCAGAAATTCTTAACTTGGGAATACAGCTAAACAGTGGAGAGGAGATTTAATCATATGGCAGGTGTTTAAAACCTGGATTCATTAGTGGCCTTTGTTAAAATGAATATATTAGATGCTCATTTTAATAACACAGAGGAGAAAAATCTAAGGGCTTGGGATTTAGGAGTGTTGGAGAAGATTTATCATGTGTAGCCCACGGAGTACTTCACTGCGTTTGAGAAACAACATTGGTAAATATACGTTGGCAATACACCTTGATAGATTCTGTAGTGGTTCTTTTCTGTTGACTTGGGAATTACAGAAAGAAAAAATTTCCTCTTCCCCCTTAGGTTGTGAATGAGACCTGAAAATTAAAGTGATAATAGAGATGAATAGGAGAAAAATTTACAACTTTTATTGATAGTAATGCTTTAATTTTTTATGTGCACAGGGGCTTCACAGAGAAGGGAAAGCCTAAAGAAATGGTTAGACTCGGGTGTATACACCACTTTAGCAGAAGGCAATAAATCATGGAGAAATGCCTAAACAATGGAAAGAGAGTCTGGGCTTTTATGGCTGATAAATTGTGGGAAAGTGACTAGGCTCATAAGGGAGAAGCTAATGAGAGAGAAGAGTATTTCATAGGATTTGTTTGTGCACTCTTCCCAGTGCTAGGCTGATTTCCAGTTAGAAGGGTAGTTCTTTTTCATATCAGTAAAAGGACACCTTCACCAGGGAAATTAATATACTGATGTTAGGCAGATGGAGGGAGAGAGGTCTTGCTGTGTTTATTTTTTCTATTTGATTGTTTATCTATCTATTTATTTTTGTAGACAACTGCCTTCAGTTCAAAATAACTGTTTGGTCAAAGTAGTATATTTGGGGGTGGCATATCTGAAAATTTCAGGATCACAAGGTTAAGGAAGATGCTATTTTTGAAATCAGCTCCCTGACTTGAATAGGAATGATGGTATCACATCTTGCTGGAGACCAAATGGTAGTACATAAATGCCAGAGACAAAGCAGATATGATAAAGTGGTGGACAGAGGGCCAGAGTAGTTATTAAAATGTCTTAGTTCATGAATACCTATAGTGCTGGCTAATTTATGTTCCTAGGAAAAAGACTACCTACTTCATCTGCATTCCTGATTTTAACATTAGAGAACACAAGCCTGGCTTAAGTTTTACCATTAGAGAGAGAAAACCCTCATTTTTTCTAAAGATTTATTTATGTATATAAGAACGGGTACAGGCCAGAGGTGAGGTAGGTGAGACGATTCACCAGAGACAGTGGAGAACAGGCCAGGTGGACTGACTGAAATACACACAGCTGACGGGAGCAGCAGGCAGGCCAGGAGCTTCTTAAAGGAAGAGAATATTGCTATCCCTCGAGGAATTTCCTTGTGATGAGGTCAAAAGGATACAGTATTAAATTCTAACTTTCACCACCTGGGAAGAGATATAAACTGACTTTGAGGGGATTACTGTGACACTGAGTCTTGAGATAATGCTAGTCACTGGACACCCAAATTAATACCAATCAAAAGGGGGTTCATGGAGGTAGGTGATAAAAGCACTGTTGGCCAGAGTTCATCTTACAGTGAAGCCAGAGGTCATTAAGCTGAATCTCTGCAGAATCTCCACCCTGGTTTTCTGAGGTTCTATGTCAAAGCGCCTATTCCTTTCTTTCTGAAACAGTGAAAAAGTTATGCCAAATTTCTGGGTGAATA